TAGACCTGCACCAAATCTGTCACCATCACTGCTAACGATTTCCTTAAGAAATTTAAACCTGCACCAAATCTATCACCATCATTGCTAACTTATCTTTGCAACCATTACTTGCAAGTTTACTGGCAAAACCAACCAAATCTGAAATATGGCATTTATATCTATTCCATATTTTATCCTCAATAATAAAAGACTCAAGATATGATTCTTAATCATATCTGATTCTGCAATAAATGAGAAAACAAAATTAGTATCCTTATTATCACCACTGAAATACTATAAGAATCACCCACAACACCACAACAACATGTGCACTGCTCAATTTCTCATACCACAGTCCTTCCTTCACAAAATTTCTTCTGCAAACACAACGTCCATTGCCAACACAGATGGACCAACAACCAGAAAAAAATAGGTTAGCTCTCACTATCCAGGTTCAGCTATAGCTTCCTAATTACATAGTTTTCAAGCTTATATTTTATATTTAACATGCTTCATGCATTTCAGTGCTCTGTACATTGTATATGCCTATCTATACATCATCAAACGCATTACTCTTCTTCAGGAACCATGAGGCGCAACTCATCCACACCAACTACCTGCAAGCAGTTTCCAAGATTACTGCATCCAAATCAATAGCTATTTATATCACTCTCCAAGGGAAATCATCCACCGACGACCTCTCCAAGCTGCAGCCAACTCAAGCTCATGTTGTGAATTACATGAAAAATAAACTTCCTCACATGCATATCATTCTCGATGGAGAAAATGTCACAAACAATGAGATTTAGACCTTACAGTTTCCTACTGTTTCCAGCTCATAGTATTACTACCTACCTACAGTTTGCTGTAATCAAATAAACAAAACTTAATTTTATATTTGCATGTGTTTCACTCAACTTATATTTATCCTCTGGTGAAGATCTTGGTGTTCCTAACAATATTCTGCTTGCAATGTTTCCAGTAAATCTGAATGGTGTTGTCATTGTGACTATAAATTTCCAACTCCCTGGACTCGAAATGAGTTTTTTGTGCTTGGCACTTTTAGCAATTGATGATGCAAATATCATCTTTAATTGATCAGATAGCAGAACTGCTTACTTTTGAAATTGTATACTATACTAAACTATATTCCTGTTTGGTTAGGTAGCAGAACTACTCACTTATATCTCACTTATTCATGTTTATTCATACTTACATGCATATTCATCCTTTCTAATGTGCCCGCCACAACGCGCGGGGTTTCAACTAGTTACAGATAAAGACGACTCCATTATTTTTAATCGATCCAGCACGAGAGTGTGCTTTTTTCATTAAATAAAGTGGGAGAAAAATGCAACCCCTAAGAGCAAAGAAAAGGCAAAAGCCAAGAAAAACTGTACACTATACAAGGTGCGGAACAAGCTCACTAAGGCACTTAGCGCCCGCCAAACCCCACATGTCGACTTCTTCCTTTATTCTCGCGAGAAGATACGAAGTTGTGGCCTCCTTGTACTCATAGATCCGCTGGTTTCATTCCTTTCATATTTCCCAAACGATGAGGAGGATCATGGTACGGGATCCCTTCTTGGGAATGCCAGCCAAAGTGGCTGGCACTTCCCACCATTCATTGACCGACTGAGTAGTCTCCCAGTGTCAAGGCTCAAGCTGATGATTGGCCACCCAATCCGTCCTTTTAGTGTATCTGCACCTAGTGACGAGGTGCAAGGCCGTTTCGTCCTCTCCCCGACAAAGTGGGCACCGTCCGTTGTTCTATCATCCCCTGGTCGCAAGTCGGTCAGAGGTCCAGACTTTATTCAGGATGATGAACCAGGCGTGTAGTTTGCATTTTCCTGGCGCCCAGACCCTCCAGATCAATGAATCAAAGGTTGTGTCGAGCACGCCAACGCATTGTGTTTATAGGCCGACGAAGCCAAGTACTAGTCATGGGGTGTGAACTTCCATGAGATTTGGTCAGACTCTTCCTCGTCTAGCTACACACCACGGACTGCGGTCCATAAAGGCCACAAGCTGCTCCACGAGGGCCACTGTGATATGTGGGTTTGTCTCCAAGGCTAAATCTCCGACCCAGACATTATTCTCCTTTCCTTGGTGTAGGGACTCTCTCCTCTTCTTAGAAATTGCGTAGACTAGGGGTACGAGGAGGTCTTTGGGTCTTCGCCCTTCCATCCATGCTTGCATGTATACTTTAAGAGCATTGCTCCAGTCCAGCATATTGTACCTCGAGGTACCGGTACCTTGAGGTACCAATTTAAATCCGGCCATTCATTCACGGAGGGTAAGATTGAAAATCTCACGCTAAGCAGCTCGTGATGCTCCTTCTCTTTGACTGAGTGACTGTGTGAACGAAGACTCCAAGAGCAACTGAGCAAGTCCAAACCAAGAGCAAGGGCGTGGTGGGAGCGGGACGAGGGGTGGTCGGCGCCGGTGGTGCCGGGGGCGTCGGCGGCGGGGTGTTGGACGGCGGCGCGTTGGGTGCCGGCGGTGTCTGCATGGTGGCGAGGTAACGAGGAGCAGGAGGGGTGGTCGGCGCCGGTGGTGTTGAACGGCGGCGCCTGCATCGGAGGCTGCTACGCGGCGGCGGAGGCGACGAGGACCTACGTCGGTCGCCTATGTGCTCGAATCCGGCAGCGAGATTAGGGGAAGGGCCGCGGTAGGCGTATGTCACCAGCGAGCTTGGGGGAAGTGATGCACGGAGGCTCGTCGGCCCCCTCCACCTCCACTCCGGCTAGCCTATCCATCCCTGGTGAGAGCCATCGATCGATGCAGGCATGCAGCATCTTTTGGAGAGAGAAAAGACAGGAGGAAGATGAAGAAGATACACGTGAAATTACTTAACTACCCTTACTTCTTTAGCACCTCTCTATGCTATGTAAAATCACGTGGACAGTACTACTAGGTACAACTCTTTCTCACCCGTTGGATCAAACGAAATCAATGGCTTAAATTGCATGTACAGTAAAAATTCTCATACTTTAATGTGATCATGCATGTACGGTGTGTAACAAACAACACAATCAATCGAACACATAAAAAAAACATCCATTTAAAAACACATCATGAATGAATTAAGCCGATTGAAATTGGGACAAATATATATGATTAATCATTAAATAGACTGAAAATCAGCCGTGTAAATCTGTTGCTAATATTATTATAGCATATATCATCTCGGGGTGCATGCATGTCTGAACTTCTCATGACGTCTAATGCTCGCCGGCATCTCTCCTGCTCCGGCGAGTCTCCTCAGCTGCGGCGGCGGCCGGATCAGTTGTCTCGACGACGAACGGTGGCGGCGGCTACTCGACGCGCTCATACAGATTCTTGAGGCTCTGGAGATTTTGCTCGATGTTGCTGATGTACTTCTTCCCCTCCGAGCGCTCCACCGCTTGCTGCCTCACGCGCAGTTTAACGCCGACGTAGATGCCGGCCGCGAAGCTCCCGCAGATGCTGTACCCCATCTTCGCGAAGTTCGACATCGACATGGCCGGCGCACGTACGCCGCCGCTCGCCGGCGGTAGGGTTGTCGAACGGGCTGAATCTCCGGCGAGGTGGCTCGCCTGCATGCGTGCGTAACTGCGTATGCAAGTCGCGTCGTGTCGCGCGTGGAGATCGATCGATCGCCTCGGAATATGTACACGTGAGTACGTTCGATCGATAGAGTTTGTGTCGGAATTATCCAAGTTGAATTTGGGTCCAAGAGACCAGAGCCTGTTTGTGTCTAGAATTAAGCCAGGGTTTTGCCCAAATTAAATGAAATTAATTCTGGGCTGGAAACCGGCGGCTAGGATTGTGGCTAGAATCGAATATTGATGGCCTGATGTAATACGCTCTCAGTTCAAGAACATTGCCAAATTTTGGCAAGATTCAGTGTTACCGAATTTTGATAGTTTTTTACTATGTGTTTAGTTTGATGCCTTTTTAAATTTTGATAGTATTGAGAAAACTTTTGAAATTTTGGTAGGATAGCATTTTACTCCAATTAGTATGGTTAAAAGTTCCAATTAAAATTTAGAATAGTTTGATGGTAAAGAGGAAAGGAGAGAGAAGATAAGACTAGGGGTGAAAATAATCGTAGAAATTCCTGACTGACCGACACTTGTTCTCGATTTTGACTGGCTGAGCTATGTGAAAATTGTTGCCAACAAAATTAAAAATAGAAATAGTAGAAAAATATAGAAATGCAAATGAAAACTATTTTATTGTTATATCGAGTGTTTCCGAATTTTTATACCATAATTGTATGAAAATTACCATCTATTACCCTATATTTGTAAATACGTCAACATCTATGACCCATTTTTTTTTATTTGACTGATACCCATCAACTCCATACCCAAATCAAGTGCATGGCTAAAAAAAGAGACAATTATAATTTACATTGTATAATCTTGAATTTATTATATTTTATATAGCTATGTAAAGTTAAATGTGTGATTTCGCCGTTCAATGTTTTTGATATTTATTATCGTTTTCCAACACGTCGTTTCCGGTTTTTCCAATATTTTTCGATACCGTTTTCATTTTATTCTTTACTGTTTTCGATTCCGTTCCGAAAGAAATATAACTATGAAAGTGGTTTCCATATTTTCGGACCTTTTTCATCCTTAGATAAGAAAACACAAGTGGTTTTATGTGTGAGTTGGGGTAGTGGCGTTGGTAGGTTGGAAGTGGTGAATCCGTGGTGGTAAGCAGGGTTCAAATTTTCGGAACGAAATTTCTAAAATTTCGGTTCTATTGGATCCGCGATACAATATTATTTCGGCCAAAAAAATATTTTTAAAATTTGGTAATAATTTGTTCAAATTTAACAAAATTTATCAAAATTTCCAAAATTCGAAAACTAAAGATTGAACTGGTGAACAGGTTGAAGACTAAAGATTCGATATATATTGCACCCTCCGAAAAAAATGTCGAAAACTAAAGATTGAACTGGTGAACAGGTTGAAGACGATGACCGCGACAGCAAGAACGCGACGCAGCCGACCACAAATCGAGCTCCACTTGTGCACAGAGAGAGATGGCCAAACCGCGAACACGATAAGCCATCTGATCAGTGGCTCGCCGTCGCCGCTGCTCCTCTCCAACTCCAACCTCGCATCACTCCATGCGCGAGCTCGAGCTCAGCTGAGTGGACGATGGAATGAGGCTCGTGGCTGCCAAACCTTGCTGCCTCTTCCGAATCTCAAGCGTCGCCGCCGTTGCAGCCGGTCGCCGCCGGCCATGGCGAGCCGCGGCGGCGAGCGGCAATGCGCACGCCGAAGCCGAAGGCGATGAGGACGGCCAATCGCTGTCGGCGAGGGCGAGGGGCAGGCGGGCGCGGCTGTCGGCGAGGCGGCGGGAGAGGATCGTGGTGGTGGAGGGCGGCGGCGTTGGGGGCATCGGCGAGTTCCTGCGTCAGCCCGCCGGCGTGGAGTCGCTGCTGAACACGAGGGCGCTGCAGAGCTTCGCGGCGGTGGACGAGGCGCCGGGGGCGAACACGTTCCGGTGCACGCTGCAGAGCATCGGCTTCCTCGGGTTCCAGGTCGCCCCCGTCCTCGACCTCCGCGTCGCCCCGACATGCCACGACTGCACCGTCGAGATGCTCTCCTGCAGGGTACTACTGAATTAAGCGAATTGCTCTGCATGATGTCTCAATCACTTGCTCAATTGATCGATTCTACGGTTAATCTTGGTTTGATTTGATCGTTTTGTTGGTGGCAGTTTGAGGGTTCAGGCTCAGTTGAGCAGCAGAATGAGCTCTTTTCAGGTAAAAAAATTCAGGTTCTTCGGTTAGCTGATTGGCTCGCAGTTCTTGAAAATTCTTTGCAGTTTTGAGTGGAGACATCTGATTTATCTGTGCAATTAGTAGATTGGTCATCAATTCATCGTTGTCAATCATCTGTTTTGCTAACCATTGTAACCATGCGAATCATTACTGCTTAGTCTGAACTCTGAACTCTGAACTTCCTTTCCGGGGCAACAAAATAAAATGTGTGTCTGATTTAGAGGTTTGATGTTTGCAGCTTTTATGAGCAACCATATAACTTGGAAAGACGATGGTGAGGAACCATGCTTGGACATTGATGTCAATTTGGAGGTCACTCTGGAGGTATATTACATGAGAAGATACAGCATCTGGATGAACAGAGCACCTCAACCGTTTTGCTCACTGAATTACTGATTCTACGGAACTAAGAGATGATCTGATTTTTTTTTAACGTACACTGAAGTTCTTCATATGTGGATTACAGGTTTACACGAAGCCATTCAGCATGCTTCCATTGTCAGCAGTGGAGACACCAGGCAACCTGTAAGGCCCTACATTAATCACTGAAGTTTCTGAAAGTTCAGTAGTAAAAAAAAAAGGCAAAATATCTCAAAGAAATTACACACAAGTGCTCACCAGATGCTGATGAGAACTAAATTCCAATCCAATCACCCCATCAAGATGTTTAAGCACATCTTTTACACTGAAACTGAATCACTGTTCAGTATTACCAGTTTCATTTTGGTTTAACATTAGAACTGAACATTTGGCAGGCTGATGCAAGGCCTCCTGGACAGGCTCGTGCCCTTGCTGGGGGAGCAGCTGCTGAGAGACTACCATTCGTGGGTTCAGCTTCAGCAGCAGCAGCCTGAAATTTCCTCATTAGAAACTGCTGAAATCGATGCTTCATAGTCGGATGGCTTCATCGAATTCAGAGATTTTTAGCGAGACGAAAGAATTCTGAGAAAATATGTTGGATGGTTTGGAGAAAAATTGGTTGCCGATGTAACTAAAAATTGCAGTTTGTAATATAGTTCCATTATGACTGCTTCAGTGAAACTCAGGCATCAAACTGCACAGCTTACAATCTCTGTTTTCTTCAGCACTAGTTCTCGTAAAAAAAGACGAACTCAAGAATTAGGAAAAGGGACATTGCACTGAGAACTTTTGGTGAAGTAACAAAGATCTGAAAATGAATAATCTTTTAGGAATTTCAGCTTGCGTGATCATATATCACAGAGAGAGAAATGAAAAGGTGAAGTAACAAGCATCTGAAAACGAATAATCTTTCAACAATTTTTTGATCGCACTACATGATCATACATCGGAGAAGAGATGAAAAGGTGAAGTAACAAACATCTGAATCTGAAAACCAATAATCTTTCAAGAATTTTGGATTCATTGATCATACATCGGAGATAAAAAAAACCACAAAAAAGTTAACAAATAATCTTTCAACAATTATGAAACCAAAAAGAAATTCCGTTGCCGGGACTCGAACCCGGGTCTCTCGGGTGAGAGCCGAGTATCCTAACCAGCTAGACTACAACGGATTGCTGATGGAAGTACATATACAAATTATATAAATATTATTATTACAAAATGATACAGAGGGATATTATTGCCGTTCGATTCGAGGCTACCCGCTACCAGCATGCACGGTGTGGTGTCCAAGGCCCCAAAGCTAGAATGACGTGCACACGAGTACAAAAGAGAGATATAGCTGAATGATTGATGTGTTTGAAAATTAGCATAAACCAAAACTGCTTGCAATTGATGAGTAGACTCATCAGTAGAGTACTTATTTATTTGTGCATGACATCTTCAGGATAGGTAGATGCCATCATTTCCTGACCTCACCCACATCTGTAGTTGCATCAATCTTGGACATGTCTCAACTAGTAAAAAAGAAACGGTAACTTTAATTGCAACTCTGCTTGAAACTTGTTAACACTATATATGTTTTTCAAACAAAATGTGAAATACATGAACTTACAAGTATGATTACACAGAGACATCAAAGACACACGTACACCACGCGAGTGAGTCCCCTCCCTTAACACAAGCTTAAAAAGAAGGAAAAAACATGGCAAATATCGGACTGAACAATATATATGGTTTTGTACTATACGTAGCATATTTTGAAGGGGTTTTTCGGCTCAAAATTATGACTATAATGTTCACGTGAGCGCTCGGTGAGAGGAGTCCATTACTTTTGTTTATGATGAAACGGGAATTCCATTATTAATTTGGTTCTTTCACTTTCTATCTAGCTAGTTTTAAAAAATCTCTTCAAAAAAAAGTTTTAAAAAAATCTCTTGCAGCCCTTGCCTAAATCTCTTGTACTATCTTCCTCCGGATAGAGTGGAAAATAGGAAGAAAAAAGACATCAGTCATTCTAATGAAAGCCCTTCTGCTCTTTAACATGAAAGCCCTTCTGCTCTTTAACACAAGTTCTTGATTCTATAGACTTTGATGGTACAACTCATTATGGCTAGATTTGTTTTCATATATGTTCAGTTCATGCATTTATATATGTGCTTCATAATCCTTGGACTTATTTACATGCATGAGATTTTGACCCCATATATATACTCCAAGCTAGCATATGAAAAGGGTAATTGATTAATTCACATTCGACCCTGCCAAAGTTCACATATGTTCATGATAGCTAGTATCTTCATATAGAATGCTTCTGTCATCCCCCAGAATGAATTGTAAGAAAGTTATACCGCAAAATTAAACATTCCACTCAAAAATTTTCAAATTCAAACTTTCGCGCCATGGGTCGATTTCGCGCCTCTTTTTCTCCTTTCTTCCTCTGTTAATTTCCACTACAAAATCACACCGGATTGCAAAGAGAAACAACTGCAAATTTCCATTTCATGACAACATCCATCTCATATATAACAACAGTTCCTTTTCAAGAACCGATTATTACACTTCTCTTACACAAGGATCATACACAAGGTGCATGACCAAGTACAGACTAAGTTAATTTATTCCATGGCTAGAGTACTCTAGACTCTAGATCATGCATGTCTTCCTTGATATGGCTAGTTACACCATTAGGACAGCACAACACAACCACAAAAGTGCATAGTACACATGCTACATAGAAGGTGTAACTAGCTAGCTAAGAAGTTGTAGATATGGTCACTCTCCTTGCTGAACAATGGCGATCAAAGCGGCGACCTCTTCGATGTCCATGGAGAGGAGGCGGTCAGCCGCAGCCATGACGTCCTCGTCTGTGGTGGTGTCAGGCTCGTTGCAGTAGTAAGGATCGGCAGCATGGTTGGCCGGCGCCGGCGCCATGGGCGGTGCAGGTGCGGCGAACACGGGGACGGCGGCGGCGGCGACGGGCGGCGGCGGCGGAGGGAGCGGGCGGAACAGGACGGAGCCGACGTCGTGGGCGTACCTCTCGGCGATGGCCCTGACGTGGCCCGGCGTGAGCGCGTGGCGGCGGCGGTCGTCGATGCGGAGGCGCGGCGCGTGCGGGAAGTTGAAGGCGCGGTTCCCCGGCGGCGCGCCGCCGTGGAAGCAGTAGAGCGCGGCGTCGTAGGCGAGCGCCGCCGCCGCCGGGGACGGGAACGTGCCGATCCACAGCCTCGCGGCCGCGCGGTGGCCCCGCGGCACGCGGATCTCCGCCGCCCACCTGCCCCACAGCCGGCGCCGCACCCCCCTCAGCCCCAGGTTCTTCGGCGCGTGCGCCGCCGGCGGCACCATGGCGAGGTGATCGGCGACGCGAGGAGGAAGACGATGACGATGACGAGGAGGAGATGGTGTTGGGGGAGAGGGGATCGGAGGCGGGTTTTAAAGGCGGGGAGGGGTGGACACGTGGCGGCATGCACGCATGCAGGAGTAACGTGGGAGAAATGCCACGTGTCCATGCAACCTGGCGCATCTGTTTGCAAAATTGCAAGTGTTTTTTTTTAATTTTCTTTCATTTTATTTATTTGTTTATTATTATATAGGGATATTTATCTTGAAACCGGTTGACACCTACTCCTCTAGTGATGAGCCGGTCCGTGCATACGTAGTTCTATCTCTAGTGTCTCGTGCACAGAGAAAGTAGCTACATTTATGTTTCTAGCCATATAACTATAGGTTGAATTTATTTATGGGTTCACTCCATCTTTTAGCTTGCTACACTGCAAAAAATTTAGAGGAGTAACTAACAGTATGGCTTACTTTACCACCAAACGAAAGTGCCACACCATCTACTAATCTCTATCCATGTCAGTCCGGCTGCAATCTGCTCTGGGTCTGCAACTCTCTCCTCGCGCTTTATCCATTGGGTATTCATATTGTTGCTAGATGTGGCAATTGATCTCTGGGTCTGAAACTGGATGAAGGATGAAGGATGGTGGTCCTATCTTGTCAGATTGTACCATCGATGTTTTTATTTTAAAGAAGTATAGATATAGTGTTTTTATGTTGTATAAATAAGGTCTTGTCTAGATCCCACTTCAAAATTTTTTACCCTGTCACTCGAACGTTTGAACACTTGCATGAAGGCTGTGTTTAGTTCAGCGCAAAGTTTGGATTTTGGTTGAAATTGGAGATGATGTGACTGAAAAGTTATGTGTATATGACAGGTTGATATGATGGAAAAGGACTGAAGTTTGGATCCAAACTTTAGATCTAAACACATCCGAAGTATTAAATATAGGTTAAAAAAATAACTAATTATACAGCTTGCGGCCAGACGAATCTTTTAAGCCTAATTGCTCCATGATTTAACAATGTGGTGCTACAGTAAACATTTGCTAATGACAGATTAATTAGGCTTAATAAATTCGTTTCACGGTTTACTAACCAATTCTATAATTAGTTTTTTATTAGTGCCCACCCTATACGATATTCTATATAATATCTGATGTGACACGTTAAAATTTTAAACCCTGGATATACACCCCCTTAACGCGAGGGGAGTATAGCACCGAGGGCGGCGAGGGACGGATGCACGGAGCGTACGTACGTGCGTGCGTGTGTCACACGCGCGCGCGGCGACGGTGCGGACGTGAGCGATCGAGGCTGGGCCGCGACCGCTCTATACCTGCACAAAAGTACAAATTAGCATCCATCTGACTTTGCAAGAGTCCATGCCAGTGTGTAGGTAGACACTGATCAGGCCGGCTTAATTAATTAAGTAAAACCCACAAATACGACACACTATAATCTCTAATTATATTACTCTCTCCGGTTCCATTGCTCTTAATGTTTTGAATAAGGTTGTATTCAAACTTTTAAAATTTCGACTGAAAGCACTAGAATAACATATATATAGTCCCTCTTAGTCTTTACTATTAGAGTAAATACTTATTTGTATTTATTTATTGTATATGTCATAATAGACAATATAGTTAAAGATATACTTCAAAAATTATGTCGTTCTCCAAAAAATTAAGAATATCGAATCGGATGAAGGGAGTAGTACTGTCTTTGCTCGCGTTTGAAGATATGAGGATTAATTATGTGCTTGCAGATATGTAGTATACACGTACGTATAACCCCAACGCTCCGTATTGACGCCTACTACCGCGTCACTCCCATCGATCGGCGCAGTTTGACTCTTGTACCAGAGTATGTATATCGATTTCCATTATTATCGTTGGTTTATCATCATACTTGTTAGATGATAAGAATAGTTAGCTAGATAGATTGGTTCTTATCTTCAGTTTGTTGTAACTAACAGAGAGATAGGATAAGATCTCTCATCCTTTGTATGTACCACGCTAGGGGTTATTCCTAGCCTATATAACATGCAGGCGTACCTGGAGGAAGGGTATCGCTTCCATCACATGGTATCAGAGCCTTCCACCCTCCACCAATCAATCTTTCAATCTAATCTCCCAACTCCCGACGCAAATGGCGTCTTCTTCCTCCAACCCATCTGCTCTCAATGGGCAGACAGTTTCTGAGAAGCTCACCAAGAGCAACTTCGTGCTGTGGAAGGCGCAAGTTCTTGCCGCGCTGCGCGGCGCACAGATGGCCGGCTTCCTCGACGGGAGCAATCAGGCACCGGCTGCAACGATCATCATCACCAAGGACGATGGCAAGACCACCGAGAAGGTGGCAAATCCGGCGCTGGTGCAATGGAAGGCGCAGGAACAGCAGGTTCTCAGCTACCTGCTGTCGTCTCTGTCGCGTGAGGTGCTCACTCAGGTGGCAACACTCACAACGGCGGCAGATGGAGGCAATTGAGAGCCTCTTCGCATCTCAATCTCGCGCCCGCATCCTCAACACTCGCATGGCGCTCTCCACCACCGTGAAAGGAAACCGGAGCATGGCGGAGTATGTCGGTAAGATGAAATCTCTTGCGGATGACATGGCTTCTGCAGGAAAACCAGTTGATGATGAGGAGCTCATCTCCTACATTCTTGCCGGGCTGGATTTCGACTACAACTCGGTGGTCTCGTCAGTCACGGGACGCACCGGTCCAATCTCTGTGAGCGATGTCTATGCGCTCCTGGTTGGCTTTGAGTCGCGGCTGGAACTTCTCCAGAACGCGGCCAATCCTTCTGCCAACACCGCGTCGCGAGGAGGACGAGGCGGAGGCGGTCGTGATGGCAGAGGGCGCGGCGGCGGCAACCCTGGACGTGGCGGCAGCTTCGGGCGCGGTCGTAATGACGGCAAGCCCAAGCCGACGTGCCAACTCTGCGGCAAGATCGGCCACATCGTCGCCAAGTGCTGGAAGAGGTTTGATCCCTCTTTCACCGGTGAAGAGAAGAACGCCAACACTGCTGCAGTGAACTCCTACGGCATCGACACGAACTGGTACATCGACAGCGGCGCCACCGACCACATCACTGGAGAGATGGAGAAGCTCATGGTGAAGGACAAATACACCGGCAATGATCAAGTCCACAATGCTAGTGGCGCAGGTATGAATATCGATCATGTTGGTCATACTGCAATTCGTACCCCTACTCGTGATCTAACGTTGAAAAACGTCCTCCATGTTCCTGATGCATGCAAAAGCCTTGTTTCTGCCCATCGCTTTACTCGTGACAATAAAACATTTGTTGAACTTCATCCTTTCTTCTTTTTGGTTAAGGATCAGGTAACGAGGATGCCACTCCTTCGAGGCAGGTGTAGATCCGGCCTCTATCCTCTGCCAACAGACAAGCTCCAAACCATCTCCAACAAGCAGGCTTTTGGTGTTGTCAAGCCCTCTCTTTTCCGGTGGCACAGTAGATTAGGGCACCCTTCTTTTTCTGTTGTCAATCGCGTCATTAGCCAAAATAATCTCCCAGTTGTTAGGGATTCTAGTCAAGAGTTTGTGTGTGATGCTTGCCAGAAAGGCAAGAGCCATCAGCTACCCTACCCTAAGTCCAGTAGTGTTTCTATTGAACCTTTGCAACTTGTGTTTTCCGATGTATGGGGTCCTGCTATAAACTCTGTTGGCAATAAAGTTTATTATGTTAGTTTCATCGATGACTTTAGCAAATTCACTTGGATCTATCTCCTTAAACACAAATCTGAGGTTTTTGCCAAGTTTCAGGATTTTCAAAACCTTGTTGAACGCTTGACGAATAGAAAAATCAAAGCTGTGCAGACGGATTGGGGCGGGGAATACCAACGTCTTAATTCCTTCTTTCAGCGCATTGGGATTGAACACTACGTTGCCTGTCCCTATGCGCATCAGCAGAACGGTTCTGCCGAGCGCAAACACCGTCACATCGTTGAGGTCGGGCTCTCGTTGTTAGCTCATGCCTCCATGCCTCTCAAATTCTGGGATGAGGCCTTCACCACCGCTGCTTACCTCATAAACAGGACCCCAACCAAAGTGATAAACTTTGAGACCCCTCTACAACGTCTGTTTAACCTGCCCCCAGATTATTCTCTGCTTCGCACCTTCGGCTGTGCCTGCTGGCCGAATCTGCGTCCCTACAACGCCCGCAAATTAGCTTTCCGTTCTAAACAGTGTGCTTTTCTGGGTTATAGCACGCTTCACAAAGGTTTTAAGTGCCTAGACATCTCTACAGGGCGTGTGTATATTTCCCGTGATGTTGTCTTTGACGAGCAAATCTATCCCTTTGAAAAACTTCATCCCAACGCCGGTGCTCGCCTCCGGGCTGAGATCAATCTCCTCCCGGCGCATCTTCTTCCGCTGCTTGATCACGGGGGTGTACAGATGCATGATCAACCGCTGATTGATGATTCTAATCCTGCTAATCCAATTATTGAGAATAGTGCAGGCAGCAGTGCAGGCAATGGAGCAAAATCAGGGGCGCAGCACGGGCATGATTTCATGCAGAGTTCCGGCGGGCAACCTACCGGCGGCCATCATGACTCTCTGACGCACAGTACCATGCATGGCACGGAGAACCAGGCGGACCAGGAGAACTCGGCGTCATCTCGATCTGCAGAACCGGTCACGCCGCGACACGCAGCGAGTCCCTCGGCCGCGCCACACGCGGCAACCGCGCCAATCGCGTCGTCACACGCGGCAGCCTCGTCTCTGTCGGGAGACATTGTGGGACCGGGTTCACGTGGGCCATCGCAGGAGGATCAAGACACGTCGCAGGAGGATCAAGACACGTCTGCATCAGCTCCTGCTTCTTCCACATCGCATGATGATGATAGTGCTCAGTTTGCCGCTCAGCCGACTCGACCAGTGACCAGAGCACAGCGTGGTATCCACAAACCAAAGAAGTACACAGATGGCACAGTAAGGTATGCAGGACTCACACATACAGGAGAACCAGGTAATCTCCAAGAGGCTTTAAGTAATACTAATTGGAAGTCAGCTATGGATAGCGAGTTTGCTGCTTTAGTGAGAAATAAAACCTGGCACCTAGTTCCACCAAAGCAGGGGGTGAATGTAATAGATTGTAAGTGGGTCTATAAGATTAAAAGAAAGGCAGATGGAACTATAGATAGATATAAAGCTAGGTTAGTAGCAAAGGGTTTTAAACAACGTTATGGTATTGCTTATGAGGATACCTTCAGTCCTGTAGTTAAGGCTGCTACTATTAGACTTGTTCTGTCACTGGCTGTGTCACAGGGATGGAGTCTTCGACAGCTTGATGTACAGAATGCCTTCTTGCATGGCTATCTTGAAGAAGATGTGTACATGAGGCAGCCACCAAGATACGAGGAGAAAAAGATGCCACACTATCTCTGTAAGTTGGATAAGGCTCTGTATGGCTTAAAACAGGCACCTAGAGCTTGGTACTCCAGGTTGAGTAAAAGGCTACAAGAACTTGGTTTTGTTTCATCTAAGGCTGATACATCTTTGTTCTTCTATAATAAGAAGGGACTTGTTATGTTTCTGCTTGTATATGTTGATGATATTATAGTTGCTAGCTCTTCTGGTCAAGCAGTTACAGTTTTACTCAAGGAACTTGAGAAAGATTTTGCTCTGAAAGATCTTGGGGATCTGCACTACTTTCTGGGAATTGAAGTAAAGAAAACTGAGAAAGGTCTGCTGTTGACACAGGAAAGGTATGCAGGTGATATTATTAAGAGAACTGGAATGAGTAATTGTAAGCCTGTGAGTACTCCTCTCTGTGTGTCTGAAAAACTGTGGTTAAATGATGGTGAATTTTTGGGTGCAAATGATGCCAGTCAGTACAGGAGTATCGTTGGGGCTCTACAGTACTTAACTCTTACAAGACCAGACATATCTTTCTCAGTTAATAAAGTGTGTCAGTTCTTACAGAATCCTACTATTGTACATTGGGCAGCAGTAAAGAGAATACTTAGATATCTGCAAGGTACTCTTGGTCTAGGATTAAAGATTGACAAATCCTTTTCTTATATTGTTAGTGCTTTCTCTGATGCAGACTGGGCAGGATGTCTAGATGACAGGAGATCTACTGGAGGTTTTGCAGTATTTCTGGGATCAAATTTGATATCCTGGAGTGCCAGGAAGCAAGCTTCTGTATCACGCTCTAGTACTGAAGCCGAATATAAAGCCTTGGCTAATGCAACTGCTGAGGTAATGTGGGTTCGTAAATTGCTAGAAGAGATTGGTTTGTTGCATCCAGGACCTTCTCAATTATGGTGTGATAATATTGGAGCTACCTATTTGTCAGCAAATCCTGTGTTTCATGCTAGAACAAAACACATAGAAGTGGATTACCATTTTGTCAGAGAACAGGTGGCGCAGAAAATGTTGGAAATTCGGTTTGTTCCGTCACAAGATCAAATTGCTGATGGATTTACAAAGCCTCTTCCTGTGAGACAATTACAATTGTTCTGTAACAATCTCAATCTTGGAGAGTTGAGATTGAGGGGGAGTGTTAGATGATAAGAATAGTTAGCTAGATAGATTGGTTCTTATCTTCAGTTTGTTGTAACTAACAGAGAGATAGGATAAGATCTCTCATCCTTTGTATGTACCACGCTAGGGGTTATTCCTAGCCTATATAACATGCAGGCGTACCTGGAGGAAGGGTATCGCTTCCATCACAATACTAAATATCTTGAAGATTGGTTACTTCATACTCTATCAATGTATCTTCTGGACATGTATATCATCTTGAGGATATTATTAGTTATTACCTATTCTTTTTTCTTAGGGTATTTAATGAGCATCCATCTATTATGCAATTTTATGGGTTTGCCTATGTTATATCTCCACATGTGCAATGTTAGGTACAGGGCCCCTTTATTTATTTATTTATTGGGAAAATTTCAGATTACTACATATTTAATGATTAAACTATCAACTTGCTGCAATATAAATGACATATTTTAGATAGCTACGATAATACAAAATAAAATTATCATAAAACTGTAACTCTCCAGACCCTCTTGTCACTTAAACACCTGGCTTATATGCCATACAAACTCTACTAGATGGAAGCGAAATGATGAGAAGTGTCACATTGCAAGTAGGTTATGTATGACTCGTGGGCCTCGTGTGTCAGTAATAAGAGGGTTCTAACGAAATTGTAGATTTATTTTTTATAATTTAATCCACTGTCATCGTAGCTAATTGAAATATATTGTTAATGTTATAACAAGTATTCCTACTTTGGCCATGAAATTTATCGTCCTTTTCTTTTGAATCTACATGCATTGACTCCTTGTTTTGGTTGTGGCATTTAGGACCTTTCTATTATGGTTGAAATGTATTTTCCTGGAGAATTTTGACTAGCCATAAGAAACATTTTTAGTGCGTGTCCATTGCACGAGTGCAACATGACGCATTGCTGCACCATGTGTATTGTTGAGCGCCGCTCCACCGCCTCCCTTTCCTGCATGACAACACCTTTGGCCTCCCTACTACTGATGTTGTTGGTTGCAAACTATTACTCCTTATAAATCAATCGGTTGGTGAAAGATGGATGTTCATACTAAACATAGTACCGCAAAATGCCATCAAATATATGTGGTTCTTAGCACATCTCATCGATCGGTGCAAGAAGCACCCAAAGATAAAAAAGCTTTACCTAAGCACCTGAATACTGATTTGCGTTGGCCGCTGAGTCCTCGTCACGAAGAACATGGCGGCATGCCGCGTAAACTTTCAGATGAACTTGATAGAGTTGAAGAGTAGCGTGGTGCATGTTCCGGCTTCCGTTTCTACGTATACTCGAAACTCGAAACCGCAAACAAATAGGCAAGAACGTTGAGATTTCCGCAGGAATATTGCAAATCTTTCATCCAGGGTTTAAAGGATGATGTTGAAACCAGAGATACCGTCTAATTTCAGTTCAACCGCAAACGGATCTCAAGATGGTTTCATTTTTGGGAGAACTACGGCTAGGCAGCAGCATGTTGGAAAGGCTGTCATGCAACTAACGGCCAAAGCATTTTGGCCCGCCCATAAGCACAACTTATATTCTACTTTCCGAAGCACATTAGAGTATTACAAAGTGCTCCAGGATACCGTCTCAACAAGGAAAAAGAAAAAGAATGAATGAACGAAAGAAAGGGGTAAAAAAACACCTTCACACTGAAAGAAAGGGAAAAAAACACCTGCACACTGGTATTATAGACTTTACTGTGGAAGAAGCAATCGACCATTCAAAAAATGACTATGCTTCCGGTGTGCACACTCCACACAGATATGGTACGGAGTAAGACTGATTTGCATTCTTACATCAAGGCTGGCCATCACACGATGTTTCCCATCTCCAACTTCCTTAGCAAGATCACTGCATGCAATACTGTCAGCTGCTCCTGATAGAAGCACATCCACATGGATCAAAGTTCTCACCTTGTTTGGAAAATGAAAAGGGTATCAGCTCTTAACACTGTTCTGCAACTCACTGAGAGCTGCCATTCGCAGGGCGTGCGAACTTGTCGGTACTCCAGCAGGGCCACCGGGAGGATCCACCTTTGTTTGCTCATTATTGTCTTGAAAGTCATGTGAAAGTTGCAGCTTTGATAAAAGCTTCACAATATTACATGACAACAACTAATTTTAATGACATCCAGTCAGTCGAGTAGTCAGAGTCGAACCAAGCATGCAATGGTACCCAGTCTACCACTCCACAATGTGATGATGCACATGGATTCATTGTTTCATCAAGGGCCCTCTCTTTGAATCAAGCACATCAGAATGGGGTAACTTGAAAATGCTAAGCTACAGATAACATGATAACATATAACAGGATTCCATGAGCTCTACGAGTCTGGCAGAAAGTAACATGCATGCCTATTTGCCGTACACATGTAAAAGCAAACAATAGGGACTTATAGAACTTCTGAGCACTGGGATAATCATAGTTTTTCAATTAATTTCTACATTGGCTGTAGGAGTCAATCCATTGACAACGATGGAAACTAAGCTAAGGTCCATGGTTCAAATGAACCTGATTAACCTCAGACAATGGTTTTATAGGTCTCCTAACCAATATACCAACATTGTGGGAGGACAGAAGGGTGTTATCCTCTTTTTACAAACATATAAAAATTTTGTGGCAGAAACCTAGATCAAGTTCATTTTTTATTTATTCCAAAGGCTGATACCGTTGATGAAATAGTGATATACTGACACAGAGGTATCAATTCCATGGTACCGAGCTAACTTGTTTCTTAGACCCAATTGCTACTTCAAACAATAGCACCAGAGAGGCTCTCCAAATCAATTTTCAGTACAAAAAGAAAATGTGGAGAGAAACTTGTGAAGAGGATGCCACGCAAACATATAGTGAGAAACTGAGAATCTACCTTCCAAGATCCTCTCGAAAATTTTTAAAACGGGTAAAAAAGATATAGGCATCAGCAAGAACCAACTTATCTGAGATACCAAACCCTTACGTTGAAACAAAGACCACAAACACAATTGACAAAACTGAGACCGCAATGAACAGTCTAATAGTACTTCATAGCACACAGGTAGCAATCTAAGACACAGATAGCTAATTGAAATTTATATCATAAATTGCCATTTTCCCAGAGTACCAGTAACCAAGACAAAGCAACCAAGCTTCAGAAGTATATGACAAATTCACAAGGGATGTTCTTAACCAAAATCTGTAGCAATAAAGAAATCCATGACTCCAGTTGCCACTCCAAAACGTTTACCATTAGGACGACGACTCAACTAAGGTCTCAAGGGGATACAGCAGCGACTACTGACACAGATAGACCCCAGACATTCAGACTGAACCTTGACGACGACGCTGGACCTTCTTGACCCTCATAACTGTTCTAGGACTCACTGTAACAGTAAGGACATGATATATCAAGCCATGCACAAGAGATGATGAAGACAAGCAAATAAACGAAACTGTTGATAGAAAACATAAGATATGCAATTTATATTGAATTGTTCTAAAGAAAGGCATGGCATATAATGATGATCATACTGGAGGTTCTAATTATGCACCTGATTGTCCTGATCAGCAGATGACTCATTAGCATTGTTTGTCTGAAATGGCTTTTCAGCCTCGCAACTTGGACGGTTACATTTTGTGCGGAATGGATAGTTTATGTTATTGCACTTCTCGCACTTCCAACTACCTTCTGGCATCTTTGGTTCTGCCATGAAATATTAGATGTAAAGATTATATAGAATTAAAAAGGACAAAGCCATTACAAGAACTAGTGCTAAGTGACACGCATAACTTATGCAATGTGGAAATAAGATGGCATTGATCTCAGAATTTTACTGGTTTCGAGGTACTAAAGGTACACTAAAAAATTTTACAAACAAGGCACCGCATGTATGCATAGTTAGTGTTAAACTTACTTGGACCTCTTGCACCATCAGGTTTGGACCCCTGCATAAGAGTTGACACACAAGCTATCAGCAAAGTAAGCATGATGGTTTAACTCTAGGAAAAACAAGAGAAGTCAAAGCATGAGGAACAATTTCAGAAGATAGATGAAAGTGAAATTACGAAGAGAACAGCTCAAACTATTTTAGAATACTTTGACACGCTACAGACTTCCCAGAACACAGTTAATATAGCAGTACTGAAAATCGCCGGTTTGTTACTGCATGTCAGCTGTGACTTGATTAATGGCTAAGGCTGAGTGGACGATGTATTGCTAAGTATAGGTTCCAGATTTGCCAAATGGAGAGAAATTTAGTACATCTTGTTTTGAGGAGAAAACAATGACAGTTCACACGAAATGGGCAACTTAATACCTTAGGTCCTGGTGCCCAAACAATGGGCAACTTAATACATGGCACAAGCAAATTGTGTTGAATTGCATGGCATGAGGTTTTAATGAACAGTTCAGACCAGTTACTATAGCATCGAATATAAACGGCTGTCACATTGCTAATCTTGTGGCAACAAGGTCAACTTTAAGCATGATTACGATGTTAGTATATTGCAGTACACCTTTTAGTAAGCAAATCAAAAATATTTATTCATTATCAGAATTTGCACATAAACTTTGACCAATTTTAGATTTATAGAAAGAAAGATATTTCATAATTTAGTAGTAGTAATACAATAGGTGGGAACTTGCACAAGTACAAGAAGTGGAGAATTGTACCTGGTTTTCAGGTCTTGGTGTATTGCACTTTCTCATGTTACAGACTGTCCGGAATGCAAAGTTAATGTTGTTGCAATTAGGGCATTTCCAATCATTATCACGCCCAGCTCCTAAAATAAAGTTCATAAGAAAAATAAACCAATGGACAACAAAATCAATGAACAGTCAAAATTCATTTGAAAATATATACCTGCAGGCTTCTTCTGGGATCCTTCCTCGGAATATGAACCAGCCCTCGCGCCCTTCATCAAAGAATTGTATAAATGAGAGTTGAAACATTTCCTATCGTGATTTATCACACTATAATATCAAAGGACACTTAAAGGAAGCCCTTCGACAGTTAGACCCACAGAGCACAGAGTGACCACTGACAACATCCCACAATAGTTTGTTATGCAAGGGAAAAACAATTGAATCATGCTAATATGCATGAGCAAATACTAATAATCCAGAAAAGTTTACCATTGGACCAGGACCAGCAGGTAAGCCCAAGCTATATCTGTCCATGGGCATCCCATACATTCCACCTATTTTGAGGACAGGAAAATGGATAAGAGAAAAAATGTGAGGAATAGTCTCACACGAGTCAGGACACATATTCACAAAGAGTTGGTAACTTTTTAATTTTTATCTCGTATGCATTTAATTCATAAACTGCAACAACCACCCAAAAAAAATATATGGTAATAACTAATTTGCCTATAAAAGTTTACATGCTAGAGCGTAGAAGAGTAAATTAGTTCCCAAAGAAACATACTTCGCATACTAGCATTTCTATCCTGTAGCTATAGAAAATAAATGTCAGGCAAAAGGATATTTCCTGTAAAATCTCATTCTGGCCACACTAAGGTTTGCATAAAAGGACATAAATGGTCTCAAAAATTTTGCCCATTGTATCTAGTAAATCAAGTACTCAGCAGTTAGTAGAGTCTATATTGTTGTAGCACCCCTACCTGGTCCCATCATGGATCCAGCAGAATATGGAGGCCCTGCCATATGCATCGGCGGCCCATAGGGGCTCCCCATTGGCAGGCGGCCACCATAGCCATATGGATATCCAGAACCCCCAGGGAACTGAGCAATACCATAACGTGGTAAAGCAGGTCCGCCATAGAGGGAGGTGCCATAAGGGGGAGCACCACCCCCGAGGTACATGGATGGCGGCGTCCCTGGGCTCATGTATCCCCCTGACATGGGGAAATGGGGCGGCGGTGTCTGCATAGGTTTCTGCATATCCTTCTGGAGAGGAGGCAACAGCACGACTAGGTAAATGCAAAAATCACGATGAGCGGAACTAATCAACCACATGAGCGCGCATCGGTGGCAATCACATGTACCGTATAGTCGGTGGGCCTGGATTGGTTGCAATTGCGCATGTTGCAGGTGGTGCGGAAGGCGAAGTTGACGTTCTGGCAGCTGGGGCAAACCCAGTCGTCCTCACGCCGCCCACCTGTGAGTCGTCATCCATACCAAAAATGAAATTCCCCTCAGATGCAGCTTAAACAGTAAAGGAAAGCCGCAGGTTAATCGCCGCGGCGAAGCGACCTACCGTCGGTGCGGGCACGCTTTCCAGCAGATTGGCTACGGTTGTCGACCTGTAAACAAACAAACACCGCAAGCGTGAGCTTTTGCGGCGAGATCCCATGGCTGATCGACAAGCAACAGGTCCAAATCCAACCTAACCTAATTCTACGCCCACCCACTCCCGCACGCACCATCCCGCGGCGACGGGGGTGGATTCCCGCGGCAGCAATCGGAGCCCCCCGACCAATCCGCGGCGACAAATAGAGCAAGGCGAGGAAAGAGACCCGTGTACCTGAGAAGACATGGTGGTGGGGGTGGCTGCTGCTGAAACCGGCGGCGGGGCAAGCGACGCGGCGACAAGGCCTGGGCTCCTTCGGAGCAGGGCGGCGCCGGCGAAGGCGGACGAAGGAGGAGGAGGAATCCGGCGGCGGAAGGGGGCGGAGCGCCGCGGTTAGGGTTTTGCTCTTTCTCTCTCGATTTTTCGGCTTTGGAAGAAAGTGGAAACTGATTTCCACTTCTCCACGACGACGCGTCCTCCGCTGTATATGCCCCCGCGAAAACAATTGGGCCCACTAGGTGGGCCCTCCACCTCACCTAGCAGAGCTGGCAATCTCTTCCGGGTTATGGCCCATCTGTAAACTCACCATGGGCTTACTAAGCCTGTTTGGAATTCGTATAAGTCTACTTTGAGTCCCTCAGAAGTGGACTTATTCTTTTGGAATTTGATCTAGGATTTCCAAAGTTCATTAATAATACTTATTCATTTTATTTTTTTACTCACAAAAAAAGAAAAGTTACCCCCTCTGATTATAAATATTTGAAGCTTAGAAGAAGATTTATCAATCGTTTAAAATTCTGCCAATCTGTATATGTGTATAAGTTTATGATATTATGACAGTACTTTTCAAGGTAAATCTATTGTTGCCACTTTTTTGTGCTTTTAAATTAGTCATTTAAAGAAATTTCGATGGTCTGAATTTTGAAATTTTGATCACAATCTCATTCCAGGAGTTAAATATTTATGACCGGAACGAGCTTTTTTTTTAAGAAAAAACAAAACAAGTTATTCAGTTCAGTATAGCTCAGCCAAGAGTGTGCATCGAGCTGAACAGGTGACAACCTTTGACAACGAAAAAGAAAAGGAAGAACATCATGGACAATGCATGCATGGCGATCAAGATCATCGAACAGTTCGTGCATATGCACGCGTAGCTAGTCGCCTTCTTCCCCTTGCCTTTTTCTGCATTCATCAGTCGTCGCCGCCCTTGTGAACGATCACGAGATCTCCTCCTCCCTCCTCTCCTTTCCCCTCATGTCGAACACTTGCACACCCCCCACACTGCTCACTCGATCACGACGACTATATATTTCGATGCATACGAATCAAACCGAATTATCCAACTGTTCCAATGGCAATGGATTCGGAGGAGGAGGAGACGTCTTCCATGTCGCCGTGGTCGTCGTCGTTGTTGTCGGCGGCGGCGTCGTCGCAGCCGCTGCTGCTGAACCCGGCGTACGCGCGGAGCAAGTCGGTGATCCACGACGAGCTGCGCAGCTTCCGGGTGTTCCTGCAGTGGTGCGCGCTGGACCACTCCTCCCGCGCCGCGCGGGCCGCGTCGTACGCGGCGTTCCTCGCGCTGGCGCTCGCCGTCCCCGCCGCCGTGTCGCTCTCGCTGCGCGCCGACGCCGGGGCGTCCCCCGTGTCCGCGTCGGCGATCACGTTCAACCGCGTCGCGCAGGCCCCGGCGACGGGGCTGGCGGCGATCTCGTTCGCCGCGCTCGCGTCCTTCTTCCGCCGCGGCGGCGGGCTCCGGCAGCTGCTGTTCCTCGACGGCGGGCTCCGCGACGACACCGCGTTCGTGCGGCGCGGGTACGCGCGGGAGCTGGACCGCGCGTTCCGCCTCCTCGCCGCGCTGCTCCTCCCGTCGCTCTGCGTCGAGGCCGCGCACAAGGCCGTATTCTTCTTCGCCACCGTACGCGTCGAGCCGCCGCTCCCCCTCCCCGGCGTCGGCGTGCCGTGGCGCGCGGTGGCGCTGGTGGCCACGGTGGCGTCGTGGGTGTACCGCACGGGCGTGTTCCTCCTGGTGTGCGTGCTGTTCCGCCTCACGTGCGAGCTCCAGATCCTCCGCTTCGAGGGGATCTACCACATGTTCGACGTCGAGGCGCGCGCCGCCGCCGCCGAGATCTTCGCCGAGCACCGCCGCATCCGCACGCAGCTTCTCGCCACCAGCCACCGCTACAGGGCATTCATCCTCTCCTGCCTCGTCACCATCACCGTCAGCCAGCTCGGCGCCCTCGTCGTCGCCCTCTCCTCCAAGGACGGCAAGAGCTTCGCCAACTCCGGCGACCTCCTGGTAACACCACACAGCCACTCCGCCGCCGCCGCAGGCGTAGCAATCACGACACGATGCTTATACCCTCGCCGTCTCGCAGGTCGGCTCGTCGGTGCAGCTCAGCGGCTTCTTCATGTGCCTCTTCGGCGCGGCGAGGATCACGCACAGAGCGCAAAGGATCGTGTCCATCGCGAGCCAGTGGCACATGAGCATGGAGGCCGTGGCGCACCACGCCAAGTCGGCGCCATTGCCGGCGGCGCCCAGCTCGTCGGCCAGCGACGTGGACGCGCCGCACCAACCGGAGCTCGGGACGACGACGACGGCGGCGTGCGCCTACAGAAGCAGACACGCCCTCGGTAACACCAGATGAACCCCCACTCGCGCCATTTTTTTTCTGAGATTTAAATTCACTCGCTCGCGCCATTTTTTGTCGTTGCAGTGACGTACCTGTGCCACAACAGCGGCGGGATCACACTGTTCGGGTTCACGCTGGACAGGGGATTGCTCCACACCATCTTCGCCTTCGAGATGACTCTCGTGCTATGGATTCTAAGCAAAGTCCTCTCTTAATTAATTATTAGCTCGTGTTAATTGTTAAAATTTCCTCACCAGTTTGCAAGAACGCAATTATGCAATGTGTCAGTAAATGTTTATGAGTGTGGTATGTTTCAGCAATTGGACGATGTACATATAATCGTCTACTCCCTCCGTTTCATATTATAGGTCGTTTGACTTCGGTCAAAATCAAATTATTTCAAATTTGATCAAGTTTGTATAGAAAAAGTAATAATATTTTTAATCCAAGATAAATATATTATGAAAATATGTTCCATTATCATTTAATTGATCTAATTTGGTGTTGTAAATATTAATATATTTATCTATAAATTTAAATTAGTTTGATTTTAACCAAAGTCAAAACGACTTATAATCTAAAACGGAGGGAGTATCATTCTGAACTTCTGGTGTATAAATGTAAAAAAAAAGATTCAGATCATGTGGTTGGATTAGTAATGTGGCAATTCTGAAATTGACAGGTTGAATTTGCTAATTGAGGTAGTAAGTCCAGGTTAGTCGTAGCTGAGAGAGAGAGATGGTTGAATTTGCTATAGTTAGGCAGCAACAGCAACGGCCACAGCCATGGCCATGGCCATGCGGCCAGCTAGCTCGACGCCCCATCTCTCTCTCTCTCTCTCTCTCTCTCTCTCTCTCTCTCTCTCTCTCTCTCTCTCTCTCTCTCTCTCTCCAACGCGCGCGCGCGCGGAAGAGAGCTCTCTCCTGAATCAGCTCTCTTCCCCGCGATCTCTCCTACTTTTCCTCTCCGGAGAAAGCTACGTGCGCCACCCCCACCACCCCGCCCCGCCGTCGTCGAGGCGCTGGCGCCGGCGGGCTGGACATGGCCGGAGCGCCGTGCCTCCTGCGCGTGCTAGCCGTCTCCTCCTGCCTCTGCCTCCTCGCCGACGCCGCGCGCCTCCTGGCGGCGGCGCCGGCGGAGGAAGCCGACGCGCTGCTCAAGCTCAAGGCCGGCATCGTGGACGGCGGCGGCGCGCTGGACACCTGGGCCGCCGGCACGAGCCCCTGCGATGGCGGCACCTCGGCGTGGGCCGGCGTGGTGTGCAGCAAGGGCAGCGTGCTCGGCCTGCAGCTGGAGAAGGAGGGCCTGTCCGGCGAGCTCGACCTCGCCCCGCTCAAGAGCCTCACCGGCCTCCGCACGCTCAGCTTCATGGACAACGAGTTCGCCGGCGCCATGCCCGACGTGAAGGGCCTCGGCGGGCTCCGCGCCATCTTCCTGTCCGGGAACAAGTTCTCCGGCGAGATCCCCGCCGACGCGTTCGCCGGGATGGGCTGGCTCAAGAAGGTGTCCCTGTCGCGGAACGGCTTCACCGGCGCCATCCCGGCCTCGCTCGCCGCCGTGCCGAGGCTCCTCGACCTCCAGCTCAACGACAACAAGTTCACGGGCAAGATCCCCGACTTCCCCCAGAAGGATCTCAAGGTGTTCGACGTCTCCAACAACGAGCTGGATGGGGAGATCCCGGCGAGCCTCAAATCAATCGATCCACAGATGTTCGAGGGCAACAAGAAGCTCTGCGGCGCGCCAGTCGACGCGAAATGCGAGGCGCCATCCCCAGCGGCAACGACGTCGCCGCCGGCGGCGACATCCGGCAAGATCGGGACCTCGCCGTCTCCCACGGCCGCCGCCGAGACAACCACAACGGGCACAGTGCCAGCCGAGGAGGGGACGCAGGGCGCGACGAAGCCCACCAAGGGATCGACGTCGTTCGGCGTCCTCGCCGCGTTCCTCGGCACGCTGGCCATCATCGGCTTCGCGGTGGTCGAGCTCCAGAGGCGGCGAGAGTACAACACCCAGAACTTCGGCCCTGCAGCTTCAACCAAGCCCACATTGCCATCAGCTCCCGCGTCACCAGCAACCAAGCCCACGCACGCCGCCGCCGCCGCCACCGCCGCAGCCGCCACCACCGGAGGAGGCGGCGCGCGAAGCAGCAGCGTGAGCGGGAGCACGGCGAGGGGCGGCGGCGGGAAGGCGGGGGAGCAAGGGCGGCTGACGTTCGTGCGGGACGACGACAGGGGGAGGTTCTTCGAGCTGCAGGACCTGCTGAAGGCGTCGGCGGAGGTGCTCGGCGCCGCCAACCTCGGCGTGTGCTACCGCGCTACGCTCACCGGCGGCCACTCCGTGGTGGTGAAGCGGTTCAAGGAGATGAACCGCGTGGGGAAGGAGGACTTCGAGGAGCACATGCGGCGGCTCGGCCGCCTCTCCCACCCCAACCTCCTCCCGCTCATCTCCTACTACTACCGCAAGGAGGAGAAGCTCCTCATCCACGACTACGTCCCCAACAAGAGCCTTGCTCACCTCCTCCACGGTAATCCACACACACCACATTTCTTTCTTTTTATTAGCTTCCTTGTTGGCTTATTATAATCCACACTCAAATTTAATGTTTAAATTTTAATTTTAAGCCACAATCAGAGTTCCAGGTTTCAAACTTGATTTTTAAAGTTTGTTTTGGAGTATTCCTTTTATCCTAGTTTTTTTTGGTAGATTGGATCAATGCCATTATAAATTTACCGTATTAGAAATATAACATTATTATTCGTGGAACTTGTTGCGTGCCACCAGAATTTTCTAAATTTTCAAACCATGGCATCGCCGTCAAATTTTCTGCCATGAGGATGATTCGAGTTTTAGAAAATTTCAATGCCCCCACAACATGTTTCAGAATATTAATAATATTTTTAATACGGTAAATTTGTAATGGCATGGATCAAATTTACCTATTTTTCAACCCCAACAAATGATAACTTAGGTATAATAAAAGTTTTGACTCGTAAATTATTGTTTTAAGTTGTTTCATTTACTTTTCTATAATTTTTCATCATTGAAGCTAATTTTCTTTTGGGGGGGGGGGGGTGTGGATTTGTAGGTGAGGGTCGGAGGGTGAAGAAGCTGGTGCACTGGCCGGCGAGGCTGAAGCTGGTGAAGGGGGTGGCGCGAGCGCTCCAATACCTGTACGACGAGCTGCCGATGCTGACGGTGCCGCACGGCCACCTCAAGTCGTCCAACATCCTCCTCAACGACCGCTTCGAACCGCTGCTCACCGACTACTCGCTGGTCCCGGTGATGAACCAGTCGCACTCGGCGCAGCTCATGGTGGCCTTCAAGTCGCCGGAGCGGAGGCAGTTCGGCCGCTCCTCCAAGAAGAGCGACGTCTGGTGCCTCGGCATCCTCATCCTCGAGATCCTCACCGGCCGGCCGCCGTCCTACGACCCGCCGCCGCAGCCGGAGGCGGCGACGGCGAACGGCGACCTCGTCGGAGCGGTGGCGTCGACGCCGGAGGGGGAGTGGCTGGAGAAGGTGGTGGACGCGGACATGATCAGGAAGTGGGAGGACGAGGAGAGCAAGGGGGAGATGGTGAAGCTGATCAAGATCGGGATGGCGTGCTGCGAGGCCGCCGTGGACAGCCGGTGGGAGCTCAAGACGGCGGTGGAGAGCATCGAGGAGCTCAAGGGGGGGAAGGAGGAGGACGCCAACGACGAGCACTCCTTCTACTCCTCGATCGACGGCGACGAATTCGCCAGCGTCGCCATCAACTAACTCGGAAATCAACCCACATTAGCGCGCGCATCGGTTGTAATTAAGCAGCATCAAATGATATGTTAAAAAGCTCATTATGTAAAGTATACAGAAATGATGCCTAACACACTAAATCTGAACTAGCATTCTGTACTTCATGTACGTCTTTTTCGATTTTTTTTTCGTTAGCATTTGACTCATTTCATTTCTCTTTTTTTTTTTTGCTAGTGGCACAAAGGCCAGGGCACAGTATGTTCATGTCGTGTACAATATGAGCGATTTTACGGTCCAGAAGGTCGTATATTTTAGTTTAAATTTGTTATGCCTCACTACTAATTAGGGCATCATCGGTGTATGAAATAAATCGAACCATCGCACTTAAAATTGTACCAACAAGCACACAACACTACAGGTAGCAAACCAAATCGGTACAAGGCAAAATGGAACCATGTTCTTCGTTCAAACCTGTCAAAGATAGCTTGTCGTCCCTCCTATTTTTGGCATCGTATCTTCCATATTTGGTGAACGGGGAATGCATAGTAAGCCCCACTATTACCTTCCGTTCTCTGTAATATTTTCCGATTATTCACTAGCTAGGTCTATTTCACTGAAATTAGCCCGTACCAATTGTGCATGAGTTAAGCCATTCCTCTTCTCTCTCGATACACTTGCATGGTGACGGAGCATGGGGCTCCTCACCGGGAGACCGCGCAGGCCCCCCTTTGCCGGTTCGGCCGGGGGCGCTAAGTGAGGTTCTTCACCCTCGATCTGTGGAATGTACGCGAGAGAGAAAATGCACGAGACACGGGCGATGTAGACAGGTTCGGGCCGCTGAGAAGCGTAATACCCTACTCCTGTGTTCTGGTGGATCTGTGTGTGAAGGGGTTACAGAGAACTGGAAAGCAAGAGAGTACAGGCTCTAGAACCCCTCTTTCTCTTTCTCTCCTCTATCAGCTCAGGTATTCTCTAAGTTCTCCTCCTCCCGGATCCCGGATCCCGGATCCCTTTCTTCGGTGGGTAAGGTCCTCCTTTTATATCTCAAGGGGATACCACATGCACCACTTCTACCTCCCCTTCTTTTGGGTGAGGATTTACAATGGCTGCTCCGAATGACCCTCCGATGGGATGGGTCATACCTACCTCCACTTCGCCGGAAGCAAATACAACATGGGAGCACGGTTTGTCTGCCGATGACGTGACCGGCGTCAGACCAGTCACAGACCGGTCATTCTTGTCCACCACGCGTCAGTTTAGCATGCCGCACATCTGTCCTTCTTCATACAATGACTTCCTTGCAATGGTTGCGATGAAGCCTGGCATGAATCTGGCCGGGACTGACGTGCCAACTCCAGGAGTTACCACGCCGGCTCCGGCTAGGGACGAGTGCCTGGAGGCTCTCATCATTCCGACGGGACGGGGCGAGACGAGTGTCAGGCCGCCTGTTGCCACCTAACCCGCGATCTGACCGGTCTGTGACCGGTCACATACTGCGACCGGTCACGGACCGGATAAGCGAGCGCGCTGCGCTTGTATTAAATGCGGCGTGGCGCGCTCGTCCAACCCGCAATAAGTGCGGTTAGGTGAGCGCCGCTGTGCTCACCTAACCCACACACGTGGCGCCAACACCATAGGGGGTCGGGGCGCCCCAGCCCTCGGGGCTGAGACGGGAGCGGCCCGACCCCTCGGGGAGACAGAGGGAGGGGTGGCCACGTCACCCTCGGGCCCGACCCCCCCGAGGGGGTCAGGCCACGTGGGTGAGCGCGGCTGCCCAAGCCTCTAGTCACGATACTCCCGGTCCCATGTCACCGACAGTAGCCCCCGGCGTTATGCCAGGGCGATCGCCCCCCTCGAGGGAAGCGCTCGGGCGTGACGCCACTCCTTGGTGACAGGTGGGGCCGGTCTCTACTGGCGGGCAGAAAGCCAGCGATCGCAAATCGTGCGCATCGGTAAGGGAAAACCGACTGACAATAATGAGCGGTCTCTTCGCGACCGCTACATTAGTCGAGCAGCGTGCGAATCGTGCTGATTCGTTTCGCCTGGAGACATGATGATGGCGCTTCGGTCGGCGAGTGTAGTTAACGCGTGCTCGATCTGTCCCATCTCGACTGCCACGGCCGCACATCCGCCTCGTGCGCCGCAAACGGGCGAGTGGGATTAGTGGAGGCGTGGGCGCGAGAAACGAGGGGGCGAGATAGTGGGCGCGGGAAACGAGGAGCCGGGCATAGCGTTGGCAAGGGTATAAAGGCGCCGAGGAAGAGATTTGTTTCCTTCCTCTCGCCACTATTCCCCTTGCTTTCGCCGCTTGCGCTCTAACTCTTCATTTCCTGTGCCCTACCCTTGCCGCTCTCGCTCGCTCTCAAGCTTTTTCCTCCGCCGGCGTCATGGCACGGGGCTCCGCACTGCTCGACGGAAGCATGCTGCCGCCTTCTCGCATCGTGAGCGAGAGGCAGGCCGGGCTGCTGCGCCGATTCATGCCGGAATCTGCCACCGGCCGGGAGGTGGTCGAGCTGGGCGAGGGACGCCCGGCGCCACACTACCCGGGGCGGTCCGTCTTCTTTCTCTCTTTCGCAATGGCAGGGCTGGTCCCGCCATTCTCTTCTTTCTTCATGGATGTTATGGAGTTTTATAATCTCCAGATGGCGCACCTCACCCCCAACGTGGTAATGATGTTGGCCATCTTCGCGCACCTGTGCGAGATGTTTATCGGGGTGCGCCCATCTCTTCGGCTGTTCCGGTGGTTCTTCACCGCACAGCCGGTGTCGCCGCCGTCGGTAGTCGGTGGCTGCTACTTCCAGCCGCGGGGGCCGGTGCTGAGCCGCTACATTCCCTGCGTCCTCCGCAAGAAGTGGGACGACTGGAAGAGCGACTGGTTCTACACCCCCTCGCCGACGAAGCGCGCCTCCGACTTCCGAGCCAGCCCCTGGCGCAGGCCTCCAGCTGGCGGGCGCCGGTAGATCTGGGAGACGGCTACGACGTCGTTCTTGACCGCCTGGCGGGTCTGCGATCCCAGGGGCTCAGAGGGGCCATGGTGTACGGCGACTACCTTCGTCGCCGGATCGCGCCGCTCCAGCGGCGTGCCCGGGGCGCCTGGGAGTACACCGGGTCCGAGGATTACATGAGGACCCACCAGGGGGGCAGATGGGACTGGGCCCCTGAGGACTTCAAGATGGTGGTCCAACGGGTGTTGAATCTCAGCTCCGTGGAGGCATCCCTCATCCCCCAAGGAGTCCTCCCCCTCTGCAGCGATCCAGATCGCGCCAACATCCTGACCATCATGCAGGCGGTCGGGGCGTCGGAGGAGCGGGCTCCTCGAGGCCACGATGGCGCGGGTGGGAGCCGCAGGGGGGAACAATCTACCCCGGGAGGGGGTCGTGCTTCTGGGCCCCGCGACGGGGGCCCGAGGGGCAGCCGCCCTGCCGACGCCCGGGGGAAGAGGAAGCAGGAGGGTACCCCTTCCCCATCTCCTCCCCGAGGGGGCGGGGCGGTGCGTGCCAGCAGCAGGCGCCCGGAGAGTGCCGTGCCGACGCCGCGGCCCGAGGGGGAGCGAAAGAAGAAGCGGCTCCGCAAGATGGGGGAGACCGAAACATGCCGGGGAAACCTCATCTCACCCCCAAGGTGGTCGTTTAGCCGACCTCCCCGCAGGTTCGTCCCCGCGCCCACCGCGGCCGTACTCATTCTCCTATCTCCCAAGGCGAGTTTTCACTTACCCGTTTCTTTTTGTCTTCTGGTTTTTCTTCTGCTTCAGCGAGATCCCGTCGCGCCCCCCTCGCCATTCCAAGTCCGGCCGATCTGAGGCCGAGGAGGCGGCGACCGCGGAGGCCCGGAGGCGGGAAGCTGACCGGCGAGAAGCCGCAGACCGTCTCCGGGAAGCCGAGGAAGCTGCCCAGGAGGCCGTCCCGGTTCGCCAGGCTGAGGAAGTCGCTCGGGAGGAGGCCAGACTCCGCCGGGCCGAGGAGTCCGTCCGGGAGGTGGAGGCGGCACGCGCACACCAGGCGGTCTGCCAATCCCCCGACCCGACTCCGCCCGAGGCGACGGCGACTTCCGAGGCCACCCACGACGAGGCCGCGGGCGCACCGCTCGGGTCCGACCCCTCGGACGACGTTCGGAACGAGCCAACTTCGGGGGACGCCCCCGAGTCCGGCACGTCGATCGGCGGGCCGAGCCGCGCGGCGCCCACACCGAGGCGGCTCTCTCCTCTGCCTTCTGCTGCCCTACCGAGCGCGGAGCCCCTCCTGCAGGCCTTAGCCGCCGCGAACACCACGGTGTTGGACGGGTTAAGCGCCCAGATGGAGGTCCTGCAGGCGGAGCGGGTGGAGCTCGACGCGGCGTGGGCACGCGTCGAAGAGGGGCGACGCTCGGTGGAGGCCATGGTGGAGGCGGGCCGCAAGGCACACCGCCGGCACGCCTCAGAGCTCGAGGCCCGTCGGAGGGAGCTGGCGGAGATCGCCAGGGAGGTGGAGGAGGAGCGGGAGACTGCCCTCATCGCCACCGCCGTGCTCGACGAGGTGCGGGACGACCTCCGTCTCCAATACGGGAGCCGGGCGGTGGAGCTAGAGAAGAAGCTCGACGCCGCCCGGGGAGTCCTTGACGCCGCCGCTGCCCGGGAACGGCGGGCGGCGGAGAACGAGGCGGCGTCCCGGCGGCGCGAAGAGGCCCTTGAAGCTCGCTCCACGGCGCTGGAAGAGCGTGCCCGCGCAAAGGAGAGGGACCTGGCGGACCGCGAGGCCGCCCTCGCCATCTGGGAGGCCACACTGGCGGCGCACGAGGCCGCCTGCGCCGAAGAGGAGTCCGCACTCTGCCTCTGCGAGGATACGCTCACCGAGCGGGAGCGAGCTCTCGAGGAGGCCGAGGCCGCGGCGCAGCGGCTGGCGGACAACCTGTTCTTCCGCGAGGCAGCGCAGGAGGAGCAGGCGCGCCGCAATCTGGAAGGCGCCCGCGCCGAGAGGGCCGCACTGGCTCGGCGGGCCGCTGAGCTCGAGGCGCGGGCTAAGGAGCTGGACGCGAGAGCGCGCAGCGGTGGGGCGGCCGCGGGCGACAGCGACTTAGCCGCCCGCCTCGCAGCTGCCGAACACACCATCGCCGAGCTGCAGGGCGCGCTGGACTCGTCCGCCGGGGAGGTCGAGGCCCTCCGCTTGGCGGGCGAGGTAGGGCCCGGCATGCTTCGGGACGCCGTCTCCCGTTTAGACCACGCCGGGCGGCAGGCGGGCCTCTGGGGCGAGCGGACCGCGAAGTACGCCGCCAACCAGGGGGGCCTCGCCCAGCGCCTCTCAGAGATGGCTGGGACCCTCCAGCGGCTCCTCGAGGAGCTCGAGAAG